ATACATATATATATATATATAACTTTTTTGAGACAAGGTCTTGCTATGTAGCCCAGGTTGGCCTTAAACAAAATAGTGACCCTCCTGCTTCACAGCCTTCTGGGTATGTTTTATATTTTTGAGAAAGGATCTTGCTGAATGTAAGCTGCTCTAAGCCTGCCTCACACTTGTGATCCTGCTGCCTTAGTTTTCCAGAGTGCTGGGATTTAGGCCTGAGAATTGCAGTCATGCTCCTTTGTTTACTATGAATTCCTTTTTATTCAAACTGTAGGTATTGGAAAACTGCTTAAGAACTCAGAAATAGACTCCTCATTTTATGTGATTTTTTTTCAAAGGATCTGGTGTGGAATGGCTTATCACATTCTTGGTTTTACGTTTATTTTTCTAATTTGTCTAATAGGAATAAGACGATGACAAAATTAATTATGGAAGAGAAAGTGAAACATCCTGTAGAAGACCAGAATACGTCACCCCAAAACATGCCGCCTTAATCAGTGTTAAAGTATCATTCTGATCTGAAGGCAACGGAGAAGAAGCGGACAAAGAAAAGCTTTCTGCCTTCCCATTCTTGTCCAAAACAGAACATAAGCGTACTGTGTCTCTTCGTCTCTACAGGGCCATGGTAGAGCCCGAAGGTAATCTGCTTGCTGTGCTGTGTGAATCTGTCCTTGGTGTGCACCATCAGGCTTACCAAGTACTTACCTATACAGAAGCAATTTGCTTTGGTTTTGTTGTAATTAATATATATACATATGTATATTTCTTTCTGTCTGTGAGACACGGTCTCACTATGTAGTTCTGGCTAGTCATGAACTCACTATGTAGCCAACTGAGGCTGACCTCAAACTCCCAGTGATCCTCCTGCCTCAGCCTCTCTAGAAGCTGGGATTCCAGGCGTGTGTCAACCATGCCTGGCTCTGGTTTGTAATTGATTTAAAATCAGTGTAGATTTACAGAAAAGTTGAGCAGAAAAGTATGTGGCTCACATCAGGTTTCATTCTCAGTGTATTGTTTACAGGACTAGGGGCTAAACTCAGGGACACCCTACTGCTGTGTGTAGGCCCTTTTTAAATTGTTTTTAAAGACAGCATCTCCTTGAGTAGCCTAGACAGACTTGAGCAGACTGTAGACTGCCTTTGAACCTCTGATCCTCCTACCACAGCCTCCCAAGTAGACGCTGTGTGTAGGCCCTTTTTAAATTGTTTTTAAAGACAGCATCTCCTTGAGTAGCCTAGACGAGACTTGAGCAGACTGTAGACTGCCTTTGAACCTCTGATCCTCCTACCACAGCCTCCCAAGTAGCTCGGATTACAGGCGGGCACCACACGCCCAGCCATGCTGTGGATTTTGACAAATGTTTGATGACACATCCAACACAGCGTCATCTAGTCCTCCCTCATTCCCTGGGGAGCATAGAGGAAACAGATCTTAACAGTCTCCCCGGCTTTGTTTTTCATTGATGCCAAATATTGAGAAACCTGCAACATTTAGCTTTTCAACAGCTTTTACCCAACAATATGCATTTAAGATTCAGGTTTTGTTGTTAAAACAGGATCTTGCTACTGAGTCCAGAGTAGCCTTGAACTTGAGGTCCTCCAGTCTCAGCCTCCTGAGTGCTGGGGTCACAGGCACGCACCCCCACACTTGATAAAGTATCTTTGTCTTTCATAAAGCAATCAGTTTTAGTCCTGAATAATATTCCATTGCCAGGATGCCCCAGTTTATATATTCATTTACCTACTGAAGGACACTTTGGTGGCTTCCATCCACATTTTGGGAATTAGGACTAAAACAGCTATAAATTTGGGAGGCTGAGGCAGGAGTATCACTGTGAGGTCAAGGTCAGCCTGGGCTATGTAGCAAGAGACCCTGTCTGGGGGAAAAAAACCCAAACAATAAAAACTGCTATAAAGATCTGTGTGCCTTTTTTTTGAAGGGGGGCATATCAGCTTCATTTGAGTGAGTGCCGCATTACTGGCGGAAGTGCACTTATCTTCGTCAGAAATCTGTCAAATTGTCTTGCAAAGTGACTCCAGTGACCTGGGTTGGGTGTGGCTCAGCTGCAGAGCACTTGCCTAACAGTGCAAGGTCCCAGGTTTGATCCCAGACACCACAAGAAAAAAAAAAAGATGAATCTTTGCTCCACATCCTGGTCTGCATTTGTTGCTGCCGGAGTTTGTGATGAGAGCCACTCTCATACCCATCTCTTTGTTTTAGTTGCAGTTTTCTTTCCTTTTTTTGGTAACTGGGGTTCAAACTCAGGACTTTGCACTTTCGAGGCAGGAGGCAGAACCACTGAGCTAAATCCCCAGCCCTAGTTTCAGTTTTCTCATGACACGTGGGAGTGGTTTTCATATGCTTACCTCCACACACACACACACACACACACACACACACACACCCTGTACTGGGAAAATCCCCAGCTTGCCCTCTGTCTTTAGATGAGGCTTCTGTTCAGGTCTGTTGCACTCCCTGCCCCACTCTTTGTGGGTTGAACCCATGGTCTCTTGATTGCTAGGTGTTTTAGCACAGAGCTGCCTCCTAGTAACTTTATTTCATTTTTTAATTTTTCTGACGGTTTAGATCTGTAGCCCAGGCTGGCCTTGAACATGTATGTGATCCACAGTGCTGGGATTGTAGGAGAGGCACCACAGCCAGCTTTTTCCCTAATACTGTTAATGGAACCAGATCCCTGCGCACGCTGAGCCTGTGCGCTACCACTGACCTATGTCCTCAGCTCCTTACTTGCTTTGAAACAGAGTCTTGCTATACAGTCCAGGCTAGCCCTGAACTCACTGAATAGTCCACAACTTGAAGCAACCCTCCTGCCTCAGCCTCCTGAGTGCTGGCATTACAGGTATGTATCACCACACCTGGCTATTTTTATGAACATGCTAGGGTATTTTTGTGAGCATACTATATTTATGAACATACTAAAGAGCTGATCACGCTCACGTCCGCACTGCCTAGAAGGCCCACTTTGAAGTGTTCATGGGGATCTCTGCTTTTTTCCATGAGACAGCTCTCTGGAGTTTCTTTCTGAGAATATTAAAATAGAAGAATTAACCTGACCATGAATGCTTGTAATCCCAGCACTCTGGGAGGCTGAGGCAGGAGGATCACAAGCCCAACCTGGGCAATTTAGTGACTTAGCAAGACATTGTCTCAAAATTTAAAAACAAGGGAGGTTGGTGCTGGGATATAGCTCAGTGTGAAGGCACTGTGTTCCATCCACAGCACCGCACACACCAGATTAAGAACTGCACAGTGAGACCCTGTCTCAAAAAAAAAAAAAAAAAAAATTCTGTGTCCAAATGAATTTCAGGAATTCTATTTGATTTTCTTTTTATCAAAAATGCATTTTAAAGAATGATATTGACCTTTTGAAGAGAAAGGTCATCTTTTTCTTGTGCCGTTATGGATTGTCTATTTCTTCATGGAGTCCTTTGGCTAGTTTTGTTGTCCAGGCTGATCTTGAACTCAAAGCAGTCCTCCTGCCACCTCCGCCTCCAGGGTGCTGGGATTACAGGAGTGCACCATCATTCCTTGATGGCTAATTTTCTATATTTTCCATAAATTGGAAATGAAGAGGGGGAGCCTAGTTTAATACTTTTGGCAAGAACAGGTCACATGGGATGCAGAGCTCCAGCTTGTATCAGGAGTTGGATAACTCAGATTCTCGTATACTCAAAATGCTGCACACTGCTAAAGCAGTCACCGGCAGATTCCATAGAGGATAGTGGCGTGTCCTCCTTGGGATCTGTAACTGCGTGGCGGGTGACCCATCGACACCTTGTGACCATCTTGTCCTTGCGGAGATCTGAGTCTTCAGTGTTGTTGATGTCTCTGAATCAATTACCATGTTGAAGGCTGCAAATTCCCCTTGATCCTCATTCCTGTATTCACTGTGCTTCTACTGGAACAAACCTTCCTTGCCCTTTATCCTTTCTGAGTATCATTACAGACTCACAGATTAATACAGTTTTGGTTTTTACTTTGTTTTACTTTGTGGTGCTGGAGATCAAACACAGAACCTTGCATATGCTAACACACATACTGCCTCTGTTCTACACACCTCCTTATAGCCCCCCAAAAGAGATTTTAAAATTAAAGATTTTTAGATTAATTAAAAAAATTGAGACAGGGTTTTGCTATTGCATTTGTCTCCTCTGGTCACAAACTAGTGATACTCCTGCCTCAGCCTCCAAAGCTGCCAGGACTACAGCCGAGTACCAACCACCATGCCCACCTTATAGATGAAAGATTGTACTGGTTTTACCAACAAAGTTTGGAAGCCAGGTGCAGTGATGCACGCTACTCCAGGAGCTGAGACTGGAGGATCCTAAATTCAAGGCCAGCCTCTGCAATTCAGTGAGACCCTGTCTCAGAATAGGGCCAGGGATTTAGCTCAGTGATGCTGCTGGCTGCCTTGCAAGTGCAAGGTCCTGACTTTGATTCCTGGTACCAATAAATAAGTAATAAATAAATAAAAGGGTTAGTACTGTAGCCCAGGACTAGAATGCTTACTTAGCATGGACAAGCCCTGGGTTCAACATGCAGTACTGCATACAAAGTTTAGAAATGTTATCTCTTTTCTATTTTCTGGTACAGGTTCCTGAATAAGGAAATTTAGTACCCCAAAATTGAGGTACTCACAGGTAAAAACAGCTAAGCAATGGCTTGTATTGAGGAAGTATGTGATTATCTCAATTTTCTTTTTTTCTTTGTCTTGTGGTACCGGGGATTGAGCAGAGTGCTTACACTGAATCTCATCCCCAGCCATTTTTACTTCTTGTGATAGCCTTGTTAATTTGCCCACGTAGGCCTTGAACCTGTCATCCTCCATCAACCTTCCAGAGTGCTGAGACTAACGGCAGGCATCACACCACATGGCTTTATTTGGTGGTTTGGAGAATTGAACCCAGGGCCTGGTACATACTGGAAGAGCACTTGGCAATGTTTCCAGCCCCATGTGTTCATTAATTAAAAAACAATTTTTTTAAAAAATGTAGCCCTGTGTGGCCTCAAACTTGTCTCCTATCTTCTCAGTGCTTGGATTACGGATGTGGTCCACCACACATGGCTTTTTATTTTTGTAGCAGGGTCTTGATAAATTGTCTAGGCTAGCCCAGAGTTTCTGGTCCTCCTAAATGGGATTGCACATGTGTATCATCTGTTCAGCAGTTGCACATCATTGCTTTTTCTCCTTGAGTTTATCGGTACATTTAGGTGTGCAGTACAGTTACATTCATCATTGGGATCTTGTACCTTTACATGACAGGTCTTGGTTCTCATTTTTTCCCCATACCCCTGCCCTCCATTCACCCTCTCCACTCTCCCCTATTTACAAATACTTTGTTTCCATTTTTCCTTTTCTCATTGAGTTTATTGGTACTTTTTAGGTATACAGTACAGTTATATTCATCATTGAGATCGTGTAACTTTACATGACAGATCTTGGTTCTCATATTTTTTCTTGTCCCTTATTTCC